TTCCCTTCCCTTCCCTTCCCTTCCCTTCCCTTCCCTTCCCTTCCCTTCCCTTCCCTTCCCTTCCCTTCCCCTCTTATTCTTCTGACATTCTTTTCTCAAGCAGCCAGGAACCTTGTAGAGAACTTTTAAAATAAGGCTAAAGGTCATATGAATTTTAAGCCAAGGGCTGCATGGAACCCAAAAGCTACAACTTAACAAACTCTGTTCTAACAATTCCCAAGTGATTTTGCCCCTCCATGCTGGGTAGTTACTTAAAGTAATTCAGACAGCAGCTTGAGAAGTGTAAATATTTCCATGTCTTGAACCTTACTAATCCTCATTTAGGTATCTGAAGAAAATGAGAACAAGGAAAACAAGGTACCCTCCCCAGATTTCAAAGTTCTAACAGGCCTATAAGCAAAGAGATCCAAGCTTTGAAGAACTAGGTGCATCGTTTTGAATGTTTCACCTTTTATCAATGGTTTGAAAAACTTTCTTTTCCTTTGGCCATGCTCATCATTTAAGTTCTCTGTCCATTCTCTCTAGCTCTGCTGCTTATTGATTCCTTGTCCAAGTCAAACTGTTTTTTTGTTTGTTTTTTAATTCATTAAAAGTATTGATTTTCCCCGCTTTCATGTTCCAAAGGAGGAAAGAAAATATTTGGGAATGTGGAATGGTTTAGAACAGTGGACTCACAGTGATATATGTCTTGGAAGAGGCAGATAAAATCAAATAAGCAAAATGAAATATGTAATGCTTAGGAGATACTTCATCTGTTTGTTAAGAGAACTTTCCAAGTAGGCCTCAATTTATTATAATTTCAAATGAGAATTTATCATCTTGCCAGTTATTTGTAGGGATTTCAAGAACTAGATTTTGAAGTTAATCTCAGAGAACATTTTTCATATTCATTTATCTATAAAGAACTCAGAAAATTATATTCTAGGCCATATTATCAGAATCTCTTTAAAAAGTAGTACTGTATGTTTAAGAAATCCAGTAATATATTCATACAGCATTCTACCTGATAGACCTTAACTTCAGGAAGGGTTCTGAGTGTAGCTATTATATATTCAGAAAACAGAAATTGCCAGAACACAAAAATAGAAATCCTTGGTGTTCCTACACTGCATATCCTGGTGAGATAAATCCACTGGTTTTCTTTTATGTTTTTGTCACATTTAAATATGTCACATTGTCCCTAGTTGTCATTTTGTGCAAACTGACTGTACATCCTTGAACGTCCCCAATATTCCCATACTGTTGCATCTCAAAAGGGAAAATTGGGGGTAACTCTCTTACAGATAATGCTGAACAGGAATTGTTCCTATTCTATGAACCAGAAACAGGTCTAGATTTGAAGGATCCCAGGGTGAAATGCTGTCTGAAGGGCTCTCTCATTCTGTCCTGGTCTGGCTGTGGAAGCAGCATCAATCTGAATAACCACAGGCAGCTAGGTCTCTACTAGTGTAAACAGAGCCTGTATGCTCCAATATATTATAGTTTCCATTCAGTACAGAGCCTGCCAAGCAAACACAGTTTGAAGTGCTAGCTAGAATTTTTCACTACAGGCTCAGAGTAGGTGTCAAATGAGCCTCTAACACCGAACTGGGATGTCAAACAGTGATGGTGCCCTCATAAGTTAAACTTTATTAATTTATGGTCAGAGAATGGCCACCCAACGCACCCAACCAAAACAAACCCAGCACACAGAAGGAGATTAGTGATAATTTCCTAACAGATCTATATAAAAATAGAGTAAAATGCAGTTATATATTGAGATCCATCCATCCATCCATCCATCC